CCACCCTCTGAATCCTCTTTAGCCTACAAAATCAATGTGCTGATGAAATAAAAAGTTTTAAAAAAAAGTGAAATCTATCCTTCAGAGAAAGTAGAGTGGCGTAAGTTTGGTACTGTGCTCATTGCATTTCTTTGTTTCTTGCTGTTTGTTTCCTACTTCTATAGTCCCAGTCGTGTGTAGGCTACCTAGGCAACATTCATTGCCGATTAGAAACAAAGTGTTGCAGTTACAGCACAGGTGGGTATGCATGTTGGTCAGTTTGGATATGTTCAAGGATTGATGATCTCAGGAATTTTCCTGAACCTATCAAAATTGTCTTTTTTGATTTTTGATTTGAAGTCTTGAAATTTAGTTTGTGTTTTACTTTAGTTTTAAGTCCTCCTGCACTGTGTTCTGCTCATCATGAGAAAAGCATGCATCAGAGACGACAATGGACCCCCCCCCCCCCGACTTGAACTTTCTTGTCCTTGTCACTGTCTGTGTGCTTGTGTCTTACATGGGTTGTTGGACGATCAAGTTTGGTCAGCTTATTTTCCTGGTGAAATGTGCCCATTTTTAGTGCTCACTCATTGTCAACTACCATGCTTCAAAACTCTTTGACATGCACTTTTGGTCACACAAATTTATAGTCAACAGAACATTTGGATGGTTAGGGCAGGTTGGTAGAAACGCTACTGATTGGTTTTAGTTTTGTCTCTTGAGACCTTTTCATGCTTCTAATGTTGATGATAATTACTCATGAAATATTGTTCTTGCCCTAGGCTCCCTTGCCCTTTTCCTTTCTTGTTCGCTTTTTCCTTGTAGAGAGTTCACAGGTTCAGATTAATGCAAGCTCTTCAGATTAATGCAAGCGCTTTGCTTCAAGATTGATTTTGTCATTGGCTCTGTGGTATCTTTCACGTTTTATTCCCCTGTGGTGTAGCAGTTATATGCGTAACTCTTTATAGGCTGTTCTGATTGATTGCTATTTTTATAAGCTCCTTTCATACTTTCAGAGCAAGTTGTAAGAATTTCTATAGTTTAAATGATTCTGGTCTCAAAATGATAAAAGTGGCATTACATTTACTTGTCTACTTGTTCTTTTAGAAGTAATGACAATGATTTCCAGTGTTTTGGGCTAATCTTGCAAGTTAAGTCATTTTGGGCATGAAATGATGAAAGTGGCATTACATTTTTTACTTGTCTACTTGTTCATTTGCAAGAAATGATAATTATTTCCAGTGTTTTGGGCTAATCCTGCAAAAGTTATGTATGTACATGTAGGTTTTTATTGAAGATTAAAGTCAAAGCAAGTTTTTTTGTGTTGTGTTGAAAGGTGTACATGTAACATAACATCAGTCTTGCAAGTGTTTTTGGAACTGTGTTTTGTATTGATAGGAAATTGTTTGTGAATAAGTTGGTACTTTTTATTTTTGTAATCAATATTTTGAAAAGATGTGAATTGTACTATCATAATGAAACACATTGAATGTCTGCTCAGTTTCAAATTAATTTTTATTGAATTTGTTGTTTTACCTTTTTAAAGTCAGTGTGACTCTCTGTTTTGTTATTTTACATTTCGTAAATTGAAATGTACCTCATTTTCTTCCCCCCCCCCGGGTCACGCAAACTCAAACTTTAGTTTTATCACTATTAGGCATGTTCCCGTACTTTAATTTATACAACCTTTTACTTGACTTTGCTTTACTTTATTTGAGTGAACTTTGATTTGC